TCTCTCTCTCTCTCTCTCTCTCTCTCTCTCTCTCTCTCTCTCTCTCTCCGAGTTTGTGTTTGATAAACAACCAAGAACATATTCATAGATGTGACCTCCCCATTTTCACGGCCATAAAAGCCCAATTTAATTATGCTTATTTCATTTAAGGGTATCATTTTTAAAGAATTATAATGCGGAATTTGTTCCCAATAATGTGATAATATTATTACCAAACATTTCCGGAGAAATGCGTTTCATTAATAACTTCGGGATGTCATCGTCAATACAAACATAAGAATAACGAAAATATTACAGGCCTTACGATACTTTATTACACTATGGCCTACAATTTATCCATAAATCACTCAACATCCTTGGCCCTTCGTACCGCTACCTGTGATACAAAGAAACTGAGTGGGTCAGACTTGGGAGCCTGGTCAACACATAAAGTTTTCAACCCATAATAATTAAGTTCTTTAATTATATATTTCACATCAAATAATTTTCCCGATTACCCATTCCCGTTATCCTTACATATTGATCCTAATATACTGATCTCAATGGACATATCCTAAGGATCATCATCATCACCGGGTAGACAATACCTCTTGGGGGATTCCCATAGCAATATATGTCCATAAGGAAACCATGGGGGTATAGAGTACATCAATGAACATACAATTCACTAACACCTACAGGTTGCAAGTCTGCCAACGTTCCACTGGACTGTCTAGAATACGTGGTCGTCATCTATACTTTGTTAGATGATTGGTTCATCAAAAGTCAAGACCTCTCATCATATTCTCATAATTTTCATCACCCATCACTACCCAATATATTTTAGATAAATATATGAAAATACATATATGATTAAATCAAGTAAGATCATATAATTCATTTAACACAGATATCAAGTAATACAGATAATAGGCACACATAACATTTACTGATCTAGATACTTTATATCTATGTGTAAGTTGAAAGTAAATATGCACTTACTTGATAAAGTGGGTGGCTGGAAAGTTGGGCAGCGCTTTGCTTCAGCACTTGGCTTTTCCTTTGATGTGACCTAGGTTCAATTATCACTAAATCTTAGTTTATTTCTTATGACTAATGATAGTTTAGATTCCTCAACAATCCCAATGTCTACATCAAGATATATCAAGTAAGGAACAACCAAGTAGGATCATATCGGAGGTAGGGTCTGTTTGGTATACATAGTATATTATTTGTAAATCTCACTTTAAACACCTCATTAACTCCAGCCTAGACATCATCCCCATAAGTGGATCAATCAATAATATGGCGTTGGAACCATTGACAGATCTTAATTATAAATTCATAACAACAACTATGGATTTTAAATATAAATTACACTAAAATATTATAGAGTGTAATTTAACTTACAAAAGATTTCCTAGACAAAAGTCTGGAAATTGCACGAACAAAGCTTCTACTTCAAGGCTACTATTTGTTGGGCACTCAGGGGTCGTAGGGCTTCACTGGAATACTAAGAACTAAGGTAAAATGGATATAAGTCGAAGAATATCGAGAGAAGGCTTATAGGGGTGATATACAAGAAGCTTATATGGAGGCGAGTATATATAGCCGAAAAAACCAGGCGCGTCGCACACTATGTCGAGGGAGGGGGTGACGTGGCATTCATCTAGTGTTAACACGTGTCTGTAACACCCCGACTCTCAGGTATAAATTTTTTAGCTTTATATTCATTTAGAAAGGTCTACTCGACGAGTTGGATGCCCTGACTCGTCGAGTAGTGTCACGCCCCCAAACCGAAACGGCAGAAACGTTCGGGGCGGAGGACGTCATTTTTAGTATCACAAGACATGCATCATAGTAATCAAAGTAACAAGCAACCATTACATTAGAATGAAAGTGTTTACAAAGTATGTGATTCACACCAGTTAGACTCCAAAAGTAAATAACAAAACAAGACATGAAGCTACTATGCTCCATCTTCTGAATCCCAGT